AGCTGGGATCGTCGTGGACAAATTTCAATTTTTGTGCGCTGCTGAGTTGGATGATATGAGTGACCATAAAGAGAGAGAGAGAGAAGAGAGAGTAGGACACATAGCGCACGGCGCCGCCGTGCTTCATATAAAAACGGGACAATTTTTTTGAGAGCGCTCGCTGCGCACTGACTTTGTCGTGCTGTATTTTAACTGCTCGAGCCTTAAGGGGCTGAGCCGAGAAAATACGAAGTCGAGCAGTCTCTTATGCACATTTTTTTCGGCGCTGAAACTGACCAAAAATAAGGTTGTAGGCTAGTAGGGGCGTGACAAATCGGGAATAACTGCATTTTCTAGTATTCTGCCCGACTGACGCGTTTTTTTATATTATTATTATCAGTCGTTATTTATGCGTAGATTTTTTCAATTAATGAAATTTGAAACCGGTGACTTGCAGAGTTTCGATTTGGTGAGTAACACCCAACCTTGTATAAATATTCTAATAATAATCACAAGCCTTTGAGTCATAAAAAAAAACAAATGCATTTTACTTCGGTCATATGAGTGGGAGCGTAGCATTCGGCATCAGGCAAAGCACACAACTATTTGTGAATATAGAAATAAATTCATGTACATGATGATCAGCATGACAATGTAGGCGCATCACTTCTTCTTGGCATCTTTAAGACCAGCTCCGGCGTTGAATTTGAAGAAAATGATGTCGCCATCCTCGACCGTGTAGTTGCGTCCCTGTTGGCGATACTTGCCGGCCGCCTTTGCGGCCACCTCACTGCCCTCGGCCTTGAAGTCCTCGAAGTGCATCACCTCGGCCATAATGAAACCCTTCTCGAAGTCGGTGTGAATGCGTCCTGCGGCCTGTGGCGCCTTTGTGCCCTTCTGTATTGTCCAGGCCTTGACCTCGTCGGGGCCGGCTGTGAAGAAGTATTCCAGCTGGAGGGCCTTGTAGCCGGTGACAATGATTTTGTCAAGCTGGCTCTTGCACTTGGTCTCCTCTTCGTAGCTCTTGCGTTCGAGCTCGTCCTTTTCACTAAGCTGCTGCTCGAATGCGCCCGAGAAGGGAATAAGTAGAGCGCCCGGATCGTTCTTGTCAATCCAGTCCTTAATCTTGGGCAGCCATTTGTTCTTCTTGCGTATGAAGTCCTTGTCAGACAAATTGACCAGATAGATTACTGGCTTGGACGTCAAGAACAAATACTTGTTCAGCGTTTCAATCTACGAAAAAGAGAGGAAATATGAAGGGCAGGATAGAAAATAGAAATACTCGTTACCCACGTCGTGGGCATTCCAGTCCTCAAATCGCAGCTGACGCTTCTGGTCGACTAGGATGTCCTTGATCTTCAGCATGGAGTCATATTCGGGCTTTAGCTTCTTGTCGCCGCCACGGGCCACCACTTTCTCCAGTTTGTCCAGATTCTGCAACAGCTTCTCTTCATCCTTCAACCGCAGTTCCTCAGCAATTATGCTCAAGTCGCGCACAGGATCCACCTCGCCTTCCACATGCGTCACATCTGGATCCTCAAAGGCGCGGCACAAATGGAAAATGGCATCGCAGGCACTGATGTGCGAAAGAAAGTCATTACCCAAGCCCTGGCCCTCGGCGGCACCCTTGACCAGTCCGGCAATGTCCACCACATTTAGATAAGCGGGCACAACACTACAAACGAACGGAGAACATATTCATTTGAGCACTCTTATTTGACACTCAATATGCGGCACACTCACCTGGCTGGCTTGTGGTAGTCCACGAGGTACTCGAAGCGTTCATCGGGCACGGGTACACGACGTATGGGTAAGGCAAGGTGAACGAGCGAAAGAGAGAGATGCAGAGAGAGAAAGAGCGCATGTTAGCTGGTATTGTAATTGGGAGTTTGGGGCGGGATTCAATGCCAGGCACTGCCCTGGCCAAAGCGCCAATCATTGCAATTTTCTATAATTTTTATAAAATCAAAAAAAAAAAAAAAAAAAAAAAAAGCCGCAAGCGCCAAAATGAAGTCGCTCAAATTAAATGGGCTGCACGTAATTTGCATACGAAGCAGCTGCTGGCTGCTTGGCTGGCTTGTGGAATCTTAGCCTGCAACTAGATCTGGCAAATTGCCGAGATTGGGACACGCCCCCGCGACGGCAGCCAACATAGAAGCGACACAGGGAAGCTGCGGCAATGCAATCAAACGAACAAAAAAAAACTGCATTGATTACAATTATTTGGAGGCAACGCAAATTGCGACTGCAATGGCCGGCGGCATCGCAGCTCTTGGTAATTGGAATACTTATTCTCATTGGGCTTAATGGTGCAGAAGGGGAAATTCTCGGCCGGCGCGGCGCTCTGGGTCAGCACATTAAAGAACGTCGACTTTCCAACGTTGGGCACGCCGACGATGCCGATGCGCAGGTTGGTGCCAATGCGTCCGATCAGCGGCTTGCGTTCAGGTTCATCGTGCTTCTTAGGTGGCATATTGAGTGCTGTCGCTGCAACATGGGTATATATAGTTAAGCATATGTATGAATGTATGCTTTTATGGCCTTTATTATTTTTGGCCACAACAGCACTCGACATAACCTCAACGTCGCTGGCTGCGGCTGTTTACACTTACTTGAATTCTGTGCGCTGCGGTTCGCCTTCACTAGTAAGTTATTTGAAAATTAAAATGATATTCGGTTACTTCAAATGCTTTTGCTATATTATTTACATAAATTTCTGCTGCCGGTCAAAATAAACTAAAGTTGCTGCCGATTCCGTCCACCTCGTTGAAGCATATAGCAGGAGAGAGAGAGAGAGAGAGAGAGAGAGAGAGATTGTATGAACAGCTGTCAACCACACAGCGCTGTCTGAAGTTATGCTAAATGCCATTTGCACTTCCACATAGCATTCAGCTTTGTGTTATTTACGTGGCCTTTAGTATACGCTTTAGGCAATAGATGGCGCTTATAAGCGGGAATTTCAAATATTAAATTTTCATTTTCAAATTCATGTTTATTATTTCTTGAGCTAGATTACGTTTTATTTATTAATTTTTTGATGCAATACTATTATTAAACTTCACTGCTGAAATGTAATTGGATAAAACTGTAAAACGAAAATTAAAAAGAAGGTTTTGATTAACAAAAATGTAAAAAATATAGAGATTTTCTGTTTTTCAGTGTCGAACAATAAACCTAAAAAATCTTTCCAGCATTGCATTCCTGAACTCTGTGCAGTGCAAGTATAATAAGTGTCTGTAAGGTGTGCGTGTTTCTGGTCGTCAAGAATCTGGGCAAAATTCTTTCTTAATTTTTGATACAGTTTGCGCTCGATAATGTGATCAAAGCAACAAAAACAATGGCCAGCATATCTGTGAAAGTCATTTTACAGACGCACGTACGCGCAATTTGGCGGCTTAGTGAAAACCTGCAATAATCAATAATTAAGCATAATTAGTGAGCCGATCGTGAGCTTTATGATACATTGAAACGCAACGCAGCGCAGCGCAGCTTCCAAAAATAAAATAAAAACTGAGAGAAATAGCCAGTCGAGTCAAAAGAGTTCGCCACTTATCGTTTGATTTGATTTGAAGTAATGCTACCAAGTCTTTTCTTTCATCCAAATTAAAAGCGCCGTTATTCGTGCGCGGAGTTTAATCTATGTAGCATATGAATATATATGAAGATATATAAATGTATGCATGTGTGTGGACATATAATTTGATCTGCCAAAGAGATAAGGAGCGAGAGGGAGAAAGGGAGAGGGAGAGCAGTGAATCGAGGTCGGATCGATGATCGCATCGACCATCAAGGACAACAAAATTGAAAGTATCGGAAAACTTTTACTTAAACTTTAAGCAGTTCCACTTAATGTCAAATCGACTCAGACAACACTTAATAACACAACAAAAAATAATAGTTCTAAGACAATTAATAAAACTACTATAGCATAGACCCTGCAGAGAGGCACGCTAGGCATGCGGAACACAATTTAACGATCGATTGCGGTTTCAGGGCATTTAAAAATCCATTTGTATAGGCAACCGCAGCAGCTCTTAAAGGATCATAGCCGGGCCAACTGTTGTTTGCTGATTCTTAACAATTTAATTCGTTTGCCCACAAAACCGCAAAACGTTCTCTCACCGCTTAGTTGCTTTTCATCTTATTATTATTGTTCTTTTTATTGGTTTACTACTAAAACAGGGTAAAGGTCTGCTAGGCACATGTAACAGGCGGCATCAAAGCCTTCTCTGACCCTACAAACTCAACTTTGTGGCAAGCTGTACTGAGTAGTCGTTGTGCCCATTGGCGGAAGACCTTAGGCTTGCCGTAGTTTTGTTTGAATATACTCTATGAATCCCAATTGAAGCACCATACTTAATACATTTATTTTTTTAAAGCCTTGGAGATGAATATTTCACCTGAATCGATTTAGCTGTCCGATTTCCCTTGTTTTTGAGAGATTTTCATCTCTCTGCCCATTAAACACAAAACATTTAAATTTAATGAAATATTCAAACATATACAGTTTTTATGATAACTGGAGGTGTGACCAATCGGGTAATTCAAACTTCTAAAATTCGGGAATTTATTTTGTTTACCGCCTGGCTGATTAACCGACAATAAAGGTGCTTATGTCAAAATTTGGAGACTCTAAAATTGACTGTCAAGTTACTGTAGATTATCCCACGAGATAGGTAAAACATTAATTATCTGCCGATCTCGAATGAGTATTCATAAAGTATACAACAATACATATATTTACTTTTGGCTACTGCCTGACATATTCCATAATTTAGTAAGATGATAATAATGATGAAATTATCATCATCATGATTTAGATTCGATTTAGAAAATGTCTAAAGTAAGCTTTTATACAATAGGGAATAGTAAAATCTCAAGTATGAAGCTCCACATCTGTGTTATATGAAAATATAATAATTGAATTCAGTACAGATTGAGTAAATGACATAAATTAAACTGCATTTGATTGCCTATTTTCTCGTAATTTTATTTAAATATAAAATTTATGATCTTGAAGTTGGCCTTGATGACGGCATAAAATGTAATAATTCAGTCATCTTTAACCTATAATTGAATTAATTTCCAGATTGGCCACGGTTCTTGCATTGGATATTACAAACTTATCAAAATAACTGTGGTAATATATTAAAAAAAAGGTCTGCTTTCAGAACATTCTTACTTGACTCAAATTTGGCTCTAAAATTCAAAAGAAGATTCCTCATGCAATTATTATACAATTTATCCTATATGCTATATAAATTTCTATATATTTATCAATTTTAATTTGTCTGTTGAGCTACGAACTGTGGAAAGGTCTTTGAAAATGTTTGTAAGCGCATTTCGCGTTCGTCGCTTAAGTCTTTTGTTTTGGCCTGTTCTTCGGCAATGGAATGAAAGTCGTGTTGCGCCCAATTATTTTAATTCGGCAATAAAATTTGTATATTTCAGCATTCCATTAATTGAGGCAACAAGCTGAAATGGCAGAAAGAGCAGCCACAACAACTCCAATTCGTGGAAATTTCATGCAATGTGCTCAGATCTACATACATACATATGTACATATATAACACTCGTATGCATTTCACCTGCCCGAGTGCCGAGCTACGCTGTGCCAAGCCACGCCATGCCACGCCCCCAGCTGCCTCGCCCCGACGCGTTACATTAACGCACGCCTAATAAGTATGAATATTAAATACGAATCGTACATTGTAGATTGGGGGTATCGCCGCTATAATTATGGCCACAGCCCGCGCGCACACCTGGAGCATGGAACATGGAATAGTTGCGTGGGCAGGCGCCTTTTGGCTTTTGCCTTTTCGGCGGGGCTCTCAGGCTCGTTGCTAATTTGGCAAATTAAAAACGGGTGCTACGCCGCCAATAAGAAGCCGCAATTATAGATACGAGTCCAATATCAGTATGTGTGTGTGCGTGTGTGTGCGTGTGTGTGTGTGTGTGTGTGTGCATGGAAATTTATGGGCCGCATACGCTTGTTGTTTGATAGGCATGCGGGTGGGCGGTCTGGCGGGCCAAAGGTGGAGCCCGCTTGCCCAGCCAACCGCTGCCCGCTCAGCGCCAATGACCGCCTCCGATAATTAAGCGCAATAAAAGTCAATTAAGTGCGGCTAATTAACAAACAATATGCAAAGAGCGGCTTCAATGGAAACAAAAAAAGAAAAGAATATTACAAATATATGTACATTTATGAATATATATCTACATATTGTATATCAAAGTAAATACATATGCATATTATATAAAAATACAGCTATGCTCATGGATATAATTGCCTCATAAGTGCCTCATAATTATTTGGCTAATATAAAATATAAAAGAATTGACTTTTGTTTTTATTTTTTGACGAAATAATTATTATTATATTATTTAAAAATATTTAAAAATTAAACCTCATCCTCTAAACGAGGCGCACTATTTTCGTGCACATAGCTGTATGGATGCATATATGTATGTATGTATATGCACGTCTTAGCTGACAGTTATAAATTATAAATGTTGTTCATATATTCCCATATTTATATATATTTAGATATTTATTATTTATGCTTATGTGTATATTCATCAATGAGTAATAATTTTCTCTCCTATTGAAGCAAAAATTTGATATTTTTTTGGCTTTTTTTCTATCTTTGGCGCATTAAGCATCATCAGCTGCCATTCACTATAAATTGTTTATGTATTGTTTAATTCTTAGGCCACGCCCTTCAGTGCTTGAGTCAGCCTATAAAAATAGAAAATAATTCTTCTCAAGATGGAATATATATTCTTCTTAGATGAAGTTTGCAACAAGAATTCAAGTTTATTTTTCTATTGATAGTTGAGGCGAGCTTAAATTATAAATAAATGGTATGTGATCAACATAAATATGTAGCACTCATATGCATAAGCTGATGTTGTAAATGTCCAAATACATAAAAAAATGTACGTATATAGATGCACCTATTATATTATATTTTAATATATTTTTTATTAGATTTATTTTAAGTAGTAATTTAAAAAAATACACATATATATATCTGAATTTTCCAACCGTGTTCACGTTAACATTCTTGCAAATAAATTTCCCCAAATGTCTGCGATATCCTATTTTGGCAGACTTGTCTTGTGTAATATATAAAAAGGACTGCTGAATATAAAAATAATATTTTTCTGTCCGAGGGAGGCTATCATTAGGGGCCCCTACTGGAGTATTTAATAATATAATACAGCAGAATATAGCAGTATTCGGCTGGAATAAACATCTAAAATCAATAAAAAAATCGGATATTGTTTTTTTTACGATGAAATCGAACTCTGTTATCTTTCAAAGACGTGTGAAAATCTCTAAGCAATTTCGACGCAATTCCTATAATAAATAAACATATAGCTTCAAGTGAATTTAGTTGAATGCGTGCTACTTATTGCAGTACATATAGAGCTAAATTGGATTTTCTTGCCATGTCGACGATGCCAAGGTAGGGTCCAGGTGCAGGAGAAAGAGCAGAAAGCGGAGCTGGGTATGGCGTCAGGGCCAACCTCAGTCTCTCAGCCAAAAAGAAGAATAAAAAAAAAAAAAAAAGGAAAAAACCTCAGGGTTGATTTCAATTTCTATTTTCTTGAATGTTCTCTTATTTTTTTTTTTTTTCGTATTGTTTTTTATATGATTATTATTGTGCTTATTACGATTTCCATTTCAGCCGTGTGGCTAGGGGAGTCGCAAGGCAACGCCC